ATAGCAGCTGGGGTGGGCAGAGGAAGATACAAGTGGTTGCCAGCTGCCGAGGAGCCTATACAGCAGGGGTCTCAAACTCAATTTAGTCAGGGTCACTGGACACATTTTTTAGCCCCATGGGGGCCGCTACTATATAGGGTACCAGTTTTAATGTCTGCATATGTTACAAGCAGCAACTGTCACCCATTCAAATTAATGATCGGGTGACAGCCGCTGCATGTGCACGCCTGCACACCGCATGTAATCATATGTGAAAGAAGCACACATTATAAACTTCCCCTCTGCCTCCCAAGCCCCCCAGAACACATAATATACTTCCTCCCAAACCCCCCAGCACACATAATATACTTCATCCCAAGCCTCCCAGCACACATAATATACTTCATCCCAAGCCTCCCAGCACACATAAAAGCCCCCAGCACATATATTAATAAAGCCCCCCTCCCTTCTTTCCTTCCAAGCCACCTCACCTGCTTTCATTCGAGACGCCTATGGAACAGACCAAAAAAAACCAGCAGAATTTTCTCAGATGAAGCACACCACAACACACGGTAGTGTGTTACTATGCGTTGATGGCAATGCAATATACTTAAGGACTTGGTTGCACTATATCGCAAAGGTGTGAATGAGCCCTTAGTTTCAACAAATGCATCAGATGCCCTGGCTGTCCAAGTGTTATATGCACAATCATGTGCAATATTATTTACATTAATTCATGCTAATCTCCACAAAGCCAGCTTGATCATATTTTTATGCTGCACTAATGATTTACAAAAACAGGTTTCTTTTTTTCCCTACTTGGCTGTAAGCAAACAGATATAAGTTTTGAGCTTTACCATTTTGCTATGTTGCTTAAAATTTGCACTTATATGATATGTTTGTTGTAGCCAGAAGACTTTGTTGATTATACTTTGGGGACAATATCTGGAAATTTGTGAATTACCTAAAGGTTGCATTGGGAAAAGTGATAAGAAAATGTGTTCTTACTAACTAAAATATAAAATAAAAATATCTGTGACAAATCTGTTACTGAACTTTTAGCCCTGGGTGGAATTTCTATTATATATAACAATAATTATACCAGATAGTTTATAACACTAACTTTCTAGCAGTCATGTAATATACTTGTAGAAGTTGTAGAGGACTGCAATGCTAATTATATAATGGTCATTTCTGTATCAGACCCAAAGAACACACAGGTTCATAATCAACATGCTTTCAGAAAAATGAATCCTACTGGACTTGAGTAATGTTTTCCTGGGGAAATATAAAACATTTGACCACAAGGTGTCTCTGTTAGAATAGTGTTTTTAAATATTGTAGAATAACTTCTTGGGGTTAAGTGAAACTCTATGTGTAAAGTATAACTTGATATATTCAACACAGTACAAAAACGATAAAAAAGTTAATCTACATGGCCATACTGTACAAGAGACAAGATCATTTTGACTAGATGACAGACAACGTTCTGTATAAAGAAGCTGATGACTGAGTATTAGGTTTCTTAATGTGTTACAATTTTCTTATTATATCTTTGAGGGGCTGTCAGCACTATGACAGCTTCTGCATTTCAACACTTAGATATACAAAGCTTGTATTTATCTTCTTTCTCTCTCATTGCCCTTTTCTATTTTCTTTCTTTTTTCACCTCTTTTACCTCAGCTGCTTATTTCAAAACAGGGACTCTTACATCAAATGCTTTTCCTACTGGAAGTGTGAAAATCGTCTGAGAGTTAGTGCTATTAAAAACAACATTGGTCATTTTAAATAATTAACCTTTTTTTCTGTAAATAGAGATCATAACCAGTATTTTAATAGCAATAGGATATTCCACATTTCATCTAGTGGAGCATGATCTCTACTCTTCCATTCACAGTCCCACAAAGCCAAATGCTCACTAGAACCTTGCAATCCACAACAAGCACTGCTCACATTCTGGAACCAGATTCCTGACCAGAAGTTTATTTCCTGGTGCAGGCAAAGAAGCATGCGATGTAGCTATATGAATCCTAATGCTATATGCTATAGCTATATGAATCCTAATGCGCTGCACTCCACAGGTCTTTACCAAAAATAAAATATTTGTTTATAAAGCAGATACATACTGTTAACTCCTCTTCACATAAACCTTGACCTCTAACATGTTTCACCATGTCAGATTGCTCATAGAGAAGTCTCTAGAGAGAGTCTCTGTGAGTAAGTCAACATTGTGAAACGCGTTAGCGGTTAAGGTTTATGTAGAGAGGAGTATGTATCCGCAGGAGTATGTATCATACAACAGTATGTATCTGCTTGATAAATAAATCATTTATCTTTGGTAAATATCTTTGGAGTGTAGCTCACGAGAACCTGTTTGATCTAAATAACATAACTATATGCTTTCATGATTCACACATACAGTGGTGACCTGGGTTTTACCACACTGGATTAATGCAGGTCACCACAAGGACACGCAGAAAACAACGGTTTTCTATGTGACCCATTCAGACCACAATCTGGGTGTGATGGGAGGTGTGCTGCTCTGTGATAAAATGCAAACATGTTGCATTTTATCGCAGTGCCCTGGATCCCACTGCAGGTCACTGCATATCAGCGCAGCGCACCTCACTCCTGTATTGGAAGCCGAATTGAGTGTTCACACTGTACAAAAAAAGTAAAAAAAAATATAAACAGTGACAGCTCCGGCAGTGTGCAATACAATGCACACTGTAGGAGCTACCAGAATGCACTAGCGTCTCTGCTAAAATGCAGCATTTTAGCAGACAGGCTAGTGTCAATAGGTCCTGACAGAAGACCCTGAGCAGCTGATGAAAACCATACACACAAGCAAAGAACATTTAACACCAAGCAGAAAAGGTCTTGCTGGAAAAAATGGCTTCTGAGGATTATGGAAAAAACTTCTTAATTCCTCCTTTTTTTAACACACACAAAAAAAACAGGCAGTGAATAAAAATCAAACACTTGAAGTGACAAAATAAGTGGCACAAATAATCAAATAGACACCAAAAAAGAAAAACACAAAATTCCAAAAAAATAAATAAACTAAACTTCCCCAAATATACCCCCACCACCCAATAAAAACACACCCTCTGAATAAAGAAAACATTATAGCAGATCTTTGTTTTTTTCAAGAAGAATCACTTTGCCAATGACCCAGTGAAGCTGCAAATCAGTATGAATTATGGCCTTGAATCATGCATCTTGTGAAAATAAATCACCAATGGCAGCTCCAATATTTGAATCCTGGGATAACTATGGTCCTTTCAGAAAAGTAACATTTTTTGTTAACATGACCCCAATGGACCTAAGCAACAATCCAAAGCATTTGCATTCTGACTTCTATATGCTTCCAATATGATAGGAAATCTAACCAAATTCTGATTTAAAAATACTTTTGTATTGTTTTACATTTTAAATTTAGATCATAGACTGATTGATTTACCTGTATATGCTGTGGAACTACTCTGGAATGTTCTCTTTAATTGGATGCCAGAATAAAGTAATATGAGTCTCCTAATAACTTTAACTGGTCAACCAATTAATTAAGCATTCAGCTCTGTGCCCAGAAGCAAAGAGTTATCGCTTATCCAAAACAAATGTTAGGAATGTTTACACTCTTAGATAACACAAGCGGAGAGGTATAAAGAGAATTAGTGTTAAGAATATGCTGCTATATCATACTTAATGTACATGTTTCTTTTTTCTTAGCATGTTTCCTCTTCATATCTGCACTAATCTGTCATCATTAAAGTAGTATTAAACTCTCACAATGTTTTTTAATAATCATAGAATAGATCAAACAAATATACTGTACATTGCCCAGCAAAGAATGTATTAAAATTTTTGCTCAAGTACTTAGTTATCATGTTTCTGAACAGCTGCTTCCCACTCTTCCAGCTCAGCTTTCCTGAACGTCTTCTCCAGTACAAGATCACAGAGGATCACAGTGTCTCTCCTCACTCTCTCTCCTGGCTGTATCTCCTCACTCTCTCTCCTGGCTGTCTCTCCTCACTCTCTCTCCTGGCTGTCTCTCCTCACTCTCTCTCCTGGCTGTCTCTCCTCACTCTCTCTCCTGACTGTCTCACCATGCTGTCTCTCCTCACTCTCTCTCCTGACTGTCTCCCCATGCTGTCTCTCCTCACTCTCTCTTCTGACTGTCTCACCATGCTGTCTCTCCGTACTGTCTCTCCTCACTCCCTCTCCTTGCTGTCTCTCTCCTCGCTGTCTCTCCACACTGTCTCTCCCAGCTTTCTCTCCTCACTGTCTCTCCGTGCTCTCTCCCAGCTTTCTCTCCTCACTGTCTCTCCGTGCTCTCTATCCTTGCTCTCTCTCCTCGCTCCCTCTCCTGGCTGTCTCTCTCATCGCTGTCTCTCCTCTCTCTCTCCTGGCTGTCTCTCCTCTCTCCTTGCTGTCTTTCCTCACTCCCTCTTGTATGTTCTCAAAACAAATCACAGTGCAGCACTAGAGTGTTCAGATTTTGCTTAAAGAAAAGGCGGCAACCCTAGAAGCACCATTGTGTTTACTATGAAATTTGCATCGCATAGTGTTGCTCTGCCCCTGCTGAATGCCGCGGCACATAGCGGGTAGGGGGTGGGGCCCAAGAAAATGTTTGCCCAGGGTCCAATCAGTTTTAAAGATGGCCCTGGTCCCTGTGTGTGTTATAAAGTAGCCACCACTCCGGAGTTACCTCCTGAGTTTAGTGTCACTTTTTATCTTCCCAGTGGAGCAGCTATGTGACCTGTCATATTGTAGGCATCGCATTACTGGCATTTTTCCTAAAGTGGGGAAAATGTTCATAGCTGTGTGCTTGCGGGCATGAACGTTGAAAATTATAGCATTTGAGCAATGCTGTTTTTTGTATACAGATGCAGGTGAGTGACAGCTTTCTACGTTGACAAATGGTGGAGAACAACATCAATTAATCAGAGTAAATACCATGATTTAAGTGTTCCTAATGGTTTTGAGAAAAATGTGTGGTATTTGTGTCACTCTATTCACAGCTACAGCACTTCTATGAACACTTCTTCAAGCCACTGTCTCCCATGCAAGCTTTTAACATCTTGAAGGTGATGATAAGCAAGCTGTTGCTTACCCTGGAGGTACTGAGCGAAGCAGCTGTTACAGGACCAAATTTGCTGAACAGGTAAATCATATTCAGACAGTGTGGGCTGAATTTACTATTACAACATCAGAAGCTAAGAGGATGCTTTTTTCCTGTACTGTTCTGTTATATGTCTTTTTACTCCATCAATGGAAAATAAAAACATTTTAAAAATGTTTCATTATTCTGCTCTGTGGCAGTTTTGGCAAAGCAATAAAATATTGATAGATGAGTCAATTCATGAATCAAACTAATCTGGTGATTTTGTTCAACCCTATTATTTTTCAGGAAATCGATGAATATGAGCATGCAGATTTGTTCACTTTGGGAAGAATTATTACATTAATTAATTCTATTTGCCAGGTTTCGCAAAATGTGTGATTCTTAACCGATTAAACAAGTTTTATGTATATAATCAGGCACATGAAAAATTAACTATTTTCCAAAATAAGGACATTCACCGTATAGTGGGCATGCTCTTTAATCAATGTAAATGGCAGTTATGACAATCAAAGTAAAGCAATCTACAGTAGGGAGATTTCAGTTTCCTACAGTCAGATAAGTGAAGAAATTGGGTCTTTCTGGTTTGTTTAGAATGCAAACCTGTTCACATCATTGTTACTCTATGCAACTACATTTAAGAAGACAGGCCATATAAATGAGTTAAAGCTTCTTACTCCAAAGGTTATGTTCCCGCAGACTCAAAGGATCTACACCTGGATGTAGGCAAAGCATTATATTTTTCATATTCAGGTAATCTGGAGATGTCATGGATGAAACCTATAACCTCTTTAAATTTCTAAATTTCAGTGCCATTACACTGTTACCTTTTTTGTTTCTGAGACAGAAAGGTAAGGTAAACCTGTCTCATAGATAGATTATTTATACTGAGTATATGATGAAAAAGGCATACACAGAGGTTACATACAGTGAAAACCACATGTCAGAATGTTCAGTAGATTCAGAGATATGAACATCTGAACTTAATCGAAAATGTCTACATTTCCTGTAGAATATAAGCTTGGCCCTACAACCCCCACCCTATAGTCTCCCTATTGGTATTTTCGGTGTGCTGGGTGGCAATATGGACCAACACAAAAACTAGGGAGACAGGAGTAACAAGGACAATTATGACTAATACAGGAAACCTGGAGATTTCTAGATTTCTAAATCTACTGAGCCTTTCAAAATTGCTTTCACTGAAGATTGCATATGCCTTTTTTCCATTTACCCATATGCATTGCTCAGCTTTGTTGATTTTAAAAAATCTACTAGAGTTGGGATTTTGTATGGAAAACCACTTTTTTTTGAGGCCCGATTCACACCTGGGCGATCTGTGACTGCCTGGCAATTGTGCTGGAAACCGCGTGGATGGCCGCACAGGCACGGAGTCACACATCACCGCTGATGGCGCTGGCAGTGTCATTCTTTTTATTGGCACCCCAGTCGCACCAGGCAGATCGCTTGGACGATCGCGGCTAGAAAAAACGCACAGTGCATGTCAGCGATTGCTGCGCAGATGTAACCCCATAGAAATCAATGGGGCCACGAGGCAACCGCTGTGTGCACATGATCATGCGGTCCTGGGACGCGCATCCCGGGATTGCCCAAGTCTGCGCCATCCATGATAAATGTAAGCGTGTCTTTAGATCTAGTGAAGCCAATTTGTGTTCCAACCACCACAGGTTGAATGGAATTCATACGTGGCAAATATGTTATGTGTATAGTCTTTAAGAATAGATTCCAACATGTCAGTCCCCTTTTAAAATGTATGCTTTGTATATAAACTATGTGGTTTAGTCTAAAGTGCAGCAATTTGATTGATTTCATGTGTACTGATGTGATGAGGTTTACAAACATGCACTGGTGGCGAGGCCTGGGGACAGGCTTGAGAATTAACAGCATTCACTGTTCTTACCTCCATCCCCTGACACTTTATCAGCTGCCTAACAACATTGTACATAATGATGATCAGACAGAAATTGGAGAAGTTTGTTGTTAATTTTAATTTAAGCAGTTTTTGTACAGTGCATGTTTCCCAAAATTCAAATGCTAAATTCAAATGCTACTAATATTTCAGATGCAGCTACAGTCACTGGAACTTTCGATAATATGACTGGACTGTATCATCTTTATATTTTATTGGCTAGAAAAGGTTACTTCATGAACTTTCATTTTGTAAAAAATAATGGCCTCTTTTGTGAGATAAAATAAATAATTCACAGGGGGCATAATATTACTTTTCTTCCTAACCTATATTTTTATAAAAGGAGTTTTATTTTCAGTTTTTGCAAAATATAAATAGTAACTGCAGTAGCACAACCAGAACTAGGGCTACGCAGAGCCCATAAAAAAAATCTAATACTACAGAAATCAAGAACAGCTACTCATACATACCAACACACAAACTAACACATCCAGAAGACATCCATACCATACAACAAACACACAAGCTCCCCACCGTCTGGTCAGCCATAGTCAGTAGATAACAAGCAGTAAGATAGCAAAGAAAAGAAAGGCAAGATTAAGTTTACAATGTAAAGCAAAAACAGCTACGCACTGTGGCAGTGGTAGGCTCCACCGGAATAGTCCAAATCTATATTTATTCCAGATTTCACATTGTAATTGAGTTCAACAGATATTCAACCAGTTGTTCTGTTTTTCAAAGGCCCTTAATAACATTTTAGTTTTCTTTTAGCTTGGTGGTTTACCTGCTTTATTCAACCAAACCATGCTTTGTTGGTTGGTTTCAGAGTCCATTCAGTTTTGTCTCAAGTGATGAAAAAAAAATCACATAAGCTAAAAAAACAGGGTACCCATCTGGTGGTATTTCTTCTGTAGACTACTTGCCATGCTCAGGTTCTGGCAGTTATATTGTTTACTTTAGGTTTGACAGCTTCTATTCCTTGGTTCCTCTTGGATGCTAAAATGTTTAGTTTGAAAGTCAGAAAACAAATTAAAGTAATTAAACTAACCCAGCATGGCCAGAGCTTGCTTAAGCCAGGAATATGCCAAACTGTAAGGTTTTAAAACTCTTACAGTTCTTTTTATAGATTTTTGATATAAAACAATATTTGTTTTACTAATAAACATGAGCAGTTTATGCTATAGAGCCTGTAAACAGGCTTTTCCCCTCCTAGCAGGCTGTAGATAGAAATGTTTTTGTAAAAAAAAATACCAATTTCCACCTGCTGGTTTAAAGGGAGAATGCTAAATATTAATATGCAATATTTCATATTTAACTGACAATAATTATTTTTTTTACTCCTTGCATTTTGAACTAAATTACACATTCCCTTTTCGAGCTGGCAACACATGTATTTCAACAGCTGAAGAGTCACAAGCTGCCTGAGCCTGAAGATATGTAAAGCAGGCTGTGGAAAAAGGCTGTCACCTTTAGAATCAAATGTTATCGTTGTAACTTTACACATTATTGCATCTTGTTACAACTTATCTGAATTATTTCAGGTGCAATGAATGTTTTCAGCTATTAACATTTGACATTGGATACAGGCGTGCCTCACCTCCCTCTGTGCTTGAGGTTAGTATTATGAGCAGCTAGACTGTATTGTGTTTTTCAGTTTAATGATTGAATCTTTTCAGTTTGCAAAGCAAACAAAAGAGACTGTTAATAGTAACACCACAAAAAAAGATTTTGTTACATAAGTTCAGAATAGCAAATATGTTATACAGGTGAATAATTATAATATCGTGCAAAGTTCATTTATTTCACTAATGCAACTTAAAAGGTGAAACTAATATATGAGATAGACTCATTACATGCAAAGCAAGATCATTCAAGCTGTGATTTGTCATAATTGTGATGATTATGGCTTACAGCTCATGAAAACCCCAAGAACCCCAAATCCACAACCTCAAAAAAGTAGAATATTACATGCAATCAATAAAACAAGGATTGTACATAGAACAATATCGGACCTCTGAAAAGTACAAGCATGCATATGTACTCAGTACTTGGTTTGGGCCCCTTTTGCAGCACTTACTGCAATTACTTTTGCACGATATTCTAATTATTCGAGTTTCACCTGTAGTACAACAATATCAGACCGTAGACTTTGGAGTGAATTGGGAGTGACTATGGTGTCTTTTTAAGGTATAATGGTGAGCACCACACACATTTAAATCATGACCACTCCTTCTCTGTATTGGAAGTGGTTCCCAAAAAGTCTTGTTAGTTGTCATATGTCTGCAGCCCTTCCCATCTTCTGTACCATCTGCTTGCAGCAGCTGTCAAGCAGAGTCCCCCTCATTGCAGCACCACTATCCTCTGAAGTTCAGTTTGGCTTATCACCCACAGGTTCAGAGCAGGGCCTTGGGACTGGGGTAAAAAGTACTGAGGTTTCAAGAGAGGTGTTACAATTTGAGAAAGAAAAATACATCAAAACTCTGTCAACAATGTCTCTGTCAAATTCTGCTATGGAGATTATCTTTACTGAGTATTTTATTAACTCTGGTAGCCCAATAAATCTCTCGTACACAACCCTAACTTTCCACCTTGTGGTAGTCTTTCCTGCCAATGACGTAGAATGAGATCCCCTTGCAGGGTTATAAGTAAGGATCCAGTGGCTTATGTGGGTTAATAAATACTGTTTTAGATTGATGGAGTAAGTAAAGGTAAAACCCCTGTCTCATTGTTTTGCAGTCTGTTTCATTGGGGAGATTTCCCTTCACTACCTGTCCTGAGAACAGTGTAGGAAATGTCATTTATGTATAGAGGATCTGCTATAGCAGTTACAGTACATAGCCAGCAACTTCTAGTAATCGTTCTCCAACATTTACTTGTGCCCTATGGCTGTTACAGACAACAATGGCCAATGAAAATAAATTAATGATAAGTATAAACTTCAAAAAAATTATCCAGAGATTTTAGTTCACAGTTCACACCGTCGTATTTTAAAATGTTTACATTTCAGAGAGCATTATTTTTCTCATGTACTTTTTGTTCATTTGTACAATGGAATGCGCAGGGAATTGTGGAATCTGCGATTTTTATCAGAGGCTGTTTTCTCCTGAGGCAATTAGGTTTTAGGTTTACTGAGCCTTTGAAATTCACTGTTCAGCATATACATGTTATATTATTTAATGCATCATTAGCATCTTTACCCAACCAAATCCCCCTCTTTTTTCTTTACTGAGAAGCTAAAATAAGCTTTTAATATTTTTTCAGTACTAGGATTTTAAGGTTTAGGACTCAGTCACACAGTGTAAACTGGGGCTGTAAATGTCCGTGCGGCGTGCACGCCTGTATCGGGCCATTTCCAGGAGGGTCAGGTGTTGCGTGTGATTGCGCGCAGCAGCCTGTTTTTCCCTATGGGAGGATGCGGCCGTACATTGTCATACGGACACCCAAACTGCACATCTGCTTGGATGCCGACAGGATCCATCCTTTTCAGGTGCCCGTATGATAGCGTACGGCCATGTCCTTCCATAGTGAAGAACAGGCTGCTGTGTGAAATCACACGCAGCACCTGTCTCTCCCGGGAACAGCCCAATACGGCATGCACGCCGAAAGGACATGTACTGCCCGAGCTTACGCTGTGTGAATGAGGCCATATTCTCAGTAAAATGTACATGAAAATTATGTGTGAGTATTGGTATTTCAGTTGGTTTACTTTGTTTACAGAGCACATTTAGGACCAATTAAGGACTGATTTCCAACAAGGCAGTTCACGCTCATGGACAGTAACTCAACTTTGTTCTGGATCATTAGTGTACATTGCAAGGATTTTAACAAACTTTTTTGCAGATTCCTACCTGTTATTGTTCTGAAGAAAAAGCTGTTTGTTCCAGCATGTCCATTGCAAACTGGACCACAGCTGGTGTTCTTTCTGTGTTGAGGAAAGTTGCAGTTTCGCCATCCCTTTACTAGGTATTAGACCTTAGGGAGTATCTCACCAAAAATGAAATTTCTATTGCGAGGGATGCCTAAAATTGTAAATCAGCCAATCACAGAAGCAGGAAACAACATTTCTGGGGGTGCTCTATACAATAGTACAGAACACCTCCAGATCCCCATATTGCAATTATTACATTACATTTTTTCACAGTTTTAGAAAATTATAGTGGCTGCAGTTTTAAAGAGACAGACATTTTTTAATTGCTTATGCAGCAACTATATATGCTATGTTCATTTTTTTATGATTGTCTTCCCTTTAGAGCAAAACTTCATTTTCAAATGTATATATAATTATTGCCAGCTATAATTTTAACAATAATTGTCATTTAATTGATCATTTGATTGATTTACAAATTTCCCAAATATTTTTCTTAGACTAAAACTGAAACTGATCATGTAATCATAGTAGGAAGACCTTCTCACTTTCCTTATGTTGTTAGTGGAATGGCTTGTCTCCGTGTCATTGGAAAGGACATTATTATTGAAGTCTGGACTGTCAAGATGTTTGCTAATATTCTTGCAACAAGCTAAGAAAAAAATTCAAAAGTTGAATTTCACATTAAGGACATAGTTCCCAGGTTTCATCAACATGAGTGATTATGTTTTTGCACTAATCATTCTTACAAACAACCATTGGGTGGTCTTTTTCTAACTGCCTACTTTTGTTTATTGGTGATAAAACGCTTTACATGATGGTAAGGTTTTCTTACATACCTTATTTTTAGAAAATGTAAAATTCTTGTCAGAAGGTCCTATCTTGGGTCATTTCCAGATTTACATTCCAGTGTTACATCACTGCCAGCCCTTTCACCCCCCAACATATGAATGGGACCAGAGTAGCCTCATGAAAGTGCTGATCTCCAAGCTCATATGAACTTAGAATCAAAATTCCAAGTAAAATAATGGAAGATAAATCAATCTCTTTAAATGATTTCAGATTCAGTAACAGATAAATCTTTAGAAATGAGCCCCAATAGGGTTTTTTATTAGTCTCACAGCTGCAGAACTGCTTAGTTATTCCTATAAATAATGTCTCTGTTTTGAATGGATAACAATCTGATGATTGAAGAAAAGACCATTAACAAAAATATGTAACACTTCAATGGCCAGCATGCCATTTTCTTTCATAATGCCCCTCTTAGCAAAACAATAATTATCCACATGCTATTTGAAATGCATGTTTAAACACATTTAGGGGTCTATTCACTATGTTGCCGAGGGCAGCCGAGTGAATGACCGATCAGAAGTGAAGTGAGCCGAACACTGTTCGGCTATTCACTTCAGGCTGGTACGGCTGATTTCAGCCGTACATCGGCTGAAATCCGCCGTACATCGGCCTGCTTCGTGTGGCTTCGGGTCGGCCGAACATGCTCAGCATGTTCGGCCGACCCGAAGTGCAGAAGGAGTTCGACTCAGCCGATCCAACATCTGGATCGGCTGAGCCGAACCTCCGGCAGGCTTCTCATTGCTGTTCCGGCTATTCTTAAAGATGCCGAACAGCAGTGAGTGAATAGCCGAATGCCGCCGAGCGGCATTTGGCTCAACTGTTCTGCTCGGTCCCTCAGAGGGACCGAGCAGAACAGAAAAATAGTTAAAAAAGGTAAAAAAAAGTAAATAGAAAACGATTGTGCGGAGCTAGCAGTGACAGCTAGCTCCGCCCAATAGTTTCCTATTGTCCGGCGGCTCTGCTGCTGTAAAAAAAAAAAAAAAATACCCCGGGCGCTCTGGGAGCCCCCCGCTCCCGGCCGCCAAGAAGAGAAACCCCGCTGTGTCTTTTTTTTCTTTATTCTGACACGAGCGATGTCAGAATAGAAAAAAAAAATTCTCCCATTAAAAAGCATTGGGACATTACTATTGGCTATTTCAATTTGCAATAGCCAATAGTAAACTAGCATTGTACCCGCCCTCTGCTGATGGACCTGATGGGGAACTGCA